CTGGATGTACTTTTCAGAGAGCCCAGGGATTTGCTGATGGGCTGGGTGGAGGGTGTGAGAGAAAGAGGGGAGTCAGCATGAGACCAAGGGATTTAGCCTGAGTGACCAGAACCATGGAGATTTGGGGAATACTGCAGGAGGAGCTGGTTTGGGGGGAGTCAGTTTGGACATGTTAGGTTTGAGATGCCTGTTAGGCAACCAAGTGGAGGCATCTGGTAGGCAGAGGGATGTACAGGTCTGGGTTTCGTGGTGGAGTCCAGGCTGTAGTTATAAATTTGGGGTCATCAGTGTCATTGAATGAGATCCCCTAAGGAGTGAGAACAGATAGAAAATAAAGGGCACCCAATGACTGAGTCCAAGCATTTCAATATTTAGAAGTTGTGGAGTTGCAAAAACTCCCCCAAAATGCTGAGACATCACAGCAAGGAAAATTTGGGCATGGCATGTGTGGGGCTCTTGGCTTGATCATTTTTCTTCATTCCCAGCTACCCTGGTGGGTGAACTCTCGTTGACCCATATCTAGATGGTTCCGACCCACTCTCTGGGTCTCGGCTTCATTCCCCTCCAGACTGCCCACCTCATGCCACCTCTGCTCAAGGACCTACAGTGGCTCCCGAAGCTCAGCATTCTGGTCTTAGAGCCAAGGAAAGAGGATTGGGGTGAGAAGGGACTGAAGATCTGAGACCCTGAGAGACAGTGACTTGCCCAAGGTCCCTCTGCCAGAAGGTGGTCAGGGCTCCCAAGACATAGTTGAGTGCTCTTTATACCACCCTACCCTGCCTTTTGGGTCACATCTCAACGAGCAACAAATGTTTACTGAGCACCTGATTAAACCTGCCATGTGCAGGATATCAGTGGAAGACCCTAAGGGATCCAGTGGAAACAGATGATGCAATCCTTGCCCTCGAGAAGCTTGAACTAAGGACCCCTGAATAGTTGTTCCCTTCTTTTCCCATCTCTTCACTCTCATTCCTTATGACTTCCCAACAGGGACTCTCTTCTTCCCCACTTTATGCCCTAGGTCTTTCCTTCCCTCCAAACCTTGCCCCAACCCTTTCTTCTGGAACCCTTCCCAGATCACCTTGGATTACCCTAATCTGACAGGTAGCTCAGGCCCATCTTCGTTAACTCTCTTTCCCTCGCTTCTCATACTGAATCCATATGCACGTTCTGTCAGCCTTATCATCCAAGGAGATCCCAGATCTGACCGCATCTCACAATCTCCACTTGTACACTTCTAGCCAAGACACTGGCTTGCCTGCACTGCTGAGCACAGGGGCCCCCGATGGGCCTCCCTAGAGTTCATTCTCGACACCGCAGTCCCTTTCACCTGGAGCCCCACCCTGTCTCCTGAGTGCTTCTTACCATCCCTACGCCATTCCAACCAGTCCCCCTGCCGTGGACAGTTCTCCTCTGGGCGTGACCTATCTTCTCCCCTCTCAGCCCCTGGGGTGGAGGGTCCTGGAGGGCTGGGGTTGTCCTTCATTCATGGACCACTGAGGACCCCTGTTGTGGGAGGCCATCTCCCTGGAGTTGGGATGGGGCACGTCCTGGAGGGGGCACTCAACAGGGAGCTTGGGAAGTAAGACCGAGTGTATCTCTGCAGTGGCCGGCAGGGGTGGTTCAGAGAGGCTGTTGTAGACTCACGTTTCCTCATTTCCATCCTCCGTTTCTTCCTGCTCAGCATTCTCCCTCGTTCTCATCACTCTTTCCCTTCCATCTCTCTGACTGATTCTCTGTCTTTGTATTAGGGAGTGGGAGGGATCCCTCACCAGCCTCAGGGTCTTGAGAGAGTCTCCAGTGGAATGCACCCCTGTTCCTGATCTAAGCCCCCCAACTCTGGGGAGCTGGGACAACCAGATGGGGAGCACTGATCTCACCCCCTCCAGCCTGTGCACCCGGGGCTGAATCATTCACCATTTCCTCCCCAGTGCCTAGCACCGCACTTTGCACCCAGTAGGTGCTTATTAAATATTTATTGAAAGGATAAATGAATGAACAGCTGAAGCATTCAGCTTCCCTGTTGGGCCCTGGGCCCAGCTTTTCTGGTTCTTTAAATGAGGTCTTTCAAACTTTAATGTATACACAAACCACCTGGGGATCTTGCTAAACTGAAGGATGGGACTGACCAGTCTGGGCTGGGGCCTGAGAGTTGGCATTTCTAGCACATTTTCAGCGATGCTGTTGCTGCCGTTCTCAGATCACATTCTGAGTAGCAAAGCTGTAAGGGGAGGTGTCTCTCGGGCAGAAGGAAGCCCCTGTCTAATTGAAAGAGAGAATGATGACTATTGCAAGGGACTGAGAGAGAGTGACAGAGAGAGGAGCCAGAGGAAGAAAGGAAACCCTCCACCGCTGGTCTAACGGCCCCTAGAGCCCCTCAGCAGTGCCCGTCCCAATGGTTTCAGGAAGCCTAGAAGCACCTGTGACGTCTCCCGCAGCAGCCTCCGTCTCCCCAGGGTCCCACCCTGACTCGGGGTAATGGGGCTCTAGAGACATCAGCCACCCCTGCGTCCCTGATCGGCCTCCTTATTTCTGAGACCACTGTGAGTCCCAGAAAAGAAAGCTCGGCTGGGAGCAGGTTTGGAGTTTTCACTCAATTCCACGAACGTTCCCCAGACTGCCTCTCAGTACCAGGCACACGGGTGAACAAGAGCCAGGAGGCCCGTCTAGTGGGCAGGGAGACAACTTGCATGAGTGAAAGAAGGTGGGATTTGCACTTGCCCTGGAGGAGGGTGGGGAGAGCTTTGATGAGCATATGGGAGCTCCAGGAAGTGGTGGAGAGGGCATTCCAGGCAACATGGGCCGGAAGCAGGATGGTTCAGGACATGTTCCTTGAAGCACATCGGGATCAGCAGCTGGGGAGAGGGGAGGTGATGGAGGAAGCAGAAATTGTAGGAGCTCAGCATGGGTCTGTATTAAGGAGGGCTCTAAATGTTGGTCTGAGGAATCAGCGCTGTGGCGTGAAGGCAGGTTTATTCTGCACGCGTTAGGGAGCCGTGGAAGGGAGGTCCGTGTATTGGAAGAGGTGCTTGGAGGAAAGGCTTTGCCATCTCTTGGCTTACCTGGCCTACCAGGGAGGGACTCTGCTCTGTGAGTTGCCTTTTTCGTCTCTGTTACTCACTGGAGGCTTGGTCAGGCTCTGAAGGTGACAGTGGTGCCTGGTTTGGGAGGAGCTGAGGGTGGTGGTGTTTTTTTCCCCCACTGTGGGAAAGAGCTAATTTTGTTCTGTGGGAAGTTTAATGATCTTCTGTCCTAACTCCAGGTTCTTTTACCCAGGAGTCCCTGATGAGGACAAACTATGCTTCAGGAAAGGGAGCGGGAGCGGGAAAAGGAGGCCAGTTTTCCATGGTGGCTGAGCAGGTGAAGCATGCGTGCTCCGAGCTGGTGAACGCTCGGACCCACCTACCTGCCCAGGACTGTGCTTCAGTCTTAAGCCACACCAGCCACTCACAACCCCTCGAAGCATTTTAAGACATTGGAGTGGGTGCCCCGGGCGTATCAGCAGCGCCATATACTTAGGTACCTCCAGCGCTGGCCAGGCCAGGTGTCAGCCTTCCTAAGAACCAGCTTTTAAGTTTACCACATGTGTATTTCATCCACAGACACGTGTGGGGGTAGGCCCCGTTTTGCTGGCTGCTGGGGAAGGGGTAGAATCTTTGTGATTGTGGAAGGGTGCCCCCCCGCACAGATCTGGGGTTCTCCCTGACAGGGGTCCATGTCTTTCCTCCCTGCATGCCCCTGTCCTCTGTCACTCGCACTGTGCTCACCCTTCCCGCAGGCTGGAAATTGTGCCAACACGGAGGGCAGATTTTGTTTCTGTGGGAGAGCATGGAATATTATTTTCATCTGATTTATTTTCATTCCTGATGATTCCCGTGCTGATGCCCTAACGAGCAGAAGTAGCCAGGAGCAGCCGTCACCAGCATGGTGTGCAAGGTGGATGGATTAATGGGCTGGCAGGGACCTCATCCCAAGTAGGCCACTCAGGAAAGGGCTCAGGGGCAGGAAACTAAGGGCTGCCACTGACACACCCCAGCCTCGGTTTCTCAGTTCTGGGACAACGTTATGTGGGCCCTTCCTCTCCCTGCGTCCCACGGCCTCTGACCTTTGCAGTCCTCACTGCTCTCCACCTCATTCAGCCCAGAGTCCTGTCAGTTCTTCTACAGCAACTGCACCCAGTGCATCTCAGGTAAAACCTCCTTGAACCTGTAGAGTGAAAAGTCCATGTCCTTGGCGTTGATCACGTCTTTGATCTGTGGCACACAGTGGGTACTGAGTTCATGACCAATGAACGCGTGAAGGGATTCTGGTGGAGGCGAGGAGGACTTTAGCTACGCCCTGGTTTCATTTATTTTCAGTGTTCGAGAGCTGAGGGCTAAGTTTTTGTTTCCTCGGTGGTAATTCTCCAACCTTAGTTTTCCTTTTTGGGGGACATTCTCTCACCCCAACTTGTTGATCTTGTCTTACTCTTTCATGTGTGTTTTTTTAAAACAGTTTTTAAAAATTTATTTTATCTTTGGCTGCGTTGGGTCTTTGTTGCTGCGCGGGCTTTCTCTAGTTGTGGCGAGTGGCGGCTACTCTTCATTGCGGTGTGTGGGCTTTTCCTTGCCGTGGCTTCTCTTGCTGCGGAGCATGGGCTCTAGGCACGCAGGCTTCAGTCGTGGCACATGGGCTCAGTTGTTGTGCCTCGCGGGCTTCAGTAGTTGTGGCTCACGGCCTCTAGAGCGCAGGCTCAGTAGTTGTGGCACATGGGCTTAGTTGCTCCGTGGCATGTGGGATCTTCCCGGACCAGGGCTTGAACCCATGTCCCCTGCACTGGCAGGCGGATTCTTAACCACTGCGCCACCAGGGAGGCCCTTTCATGTGTGTTTTTCTGTTTTATGTGTCTTACATGTTAGATCCTCTCAGGTCTTTTGGAGAAGAATGTGGGGAAAAAACAGCATCTCTGAAGACATTGTCATAGTTCACTTCCACTGCCATGTGATTTCCTTTTTGTCCCTCCTTGTCAGGTGGCCCCTCCCAATGAAGGGGCTGTCAGTCATCTGTAATCACACCAGTTCCTGCAGGTCACTGTGAGGGGGGAAGTGCCTGGAGAGTGAACAAAATGCCAGGTTGAAGTTTAATGAGGCAGCATGATTGGAAGAGGGGAATCGAGGGAGGGCAAGAGGAGATGAGAGAATAGAAAAGAGGGTTGAGCAAAGCCGGGAGAGATCAGAGATGAGACAAAGGGGTAGGGGCAGAGGATCTAGGCCCCAGCTTGTCATCTGTAAAATGGGGATAACAGTTGTTGTCAGGAGTAAGAGAATATAGTGCTTAGCAGGTTGGGAGCATTACAGAATCCTTGATGATAATGATAGTAATACATGGGGGTGATATTGCCTACATCACAAGGGGTGCTGGGAGACTCAGGCTTGTAAAACACTTTGTAAACTGCAGACTGCTAATGCTTTAGCTGCTGTTATTATTATTATTATTCCATTCGTGCATTGCTTTCGGCCACTGTCTTGTATTTATGCTGATGAAGGGGGAAGCCGCCAGAAGCCGGGGAGGACCCCCAGGTTCTGTTCTGCTTTGGGGACTGTTTCCTTCCTCTCCTCCTCACCACCTGGGGAGCAGAGCCCAAGCCCCTCACCCCTCTGCTGCCGCATCTGCCCCCGGGCGAGGTGCTGAGAAGGTAGAGGCTGGCGGGAGGGTGCAGGAGGGAGGCCAGGGGGAAGCCAAGCTGAAAATGAAAGCCGAGGAGGGGGCAGCTGAGCAGTGCCTGGAATCATGTTTGCGTAATGAGCTGCACCAGCCCGGCTTGCTGTTTCTCCAGATACTGCTCCTCCTCCTTTGTCTCTCGGCCTGTACTCCCATTGCTTTTCTTCTTTCTTCTCTCCTCACTTCCCTTGCCCCTCAGTACTCCCCACAGGCCTCTTCTCCCCCTCCCACTTCCCCGACTCCTGCTCTGCGGCCCCATCCATTTGTCCCCTTGATCTGGACAAGCCTCCCACCCCAGGGTTCTCCTCTGTCTCCCTCCAACTCCCCCCGCATCTCTCCTTGTCCTTCATCTCTATGTCATTCCTTTTTCTCTTTCCGCCTCCAAGTCTCGCACCTTTACCTGCCTGCTTTTATCTTCCCTTTCCATTGTCTGGCCCCTTTTCTCCTTACTGACCCCTCTGCCCCCACCCACAGCCTTCACCCCCTCTCCTTTCTCTCCCTGTCGGCTTCACTGCTTGGCTTTAGGATCCACTGTGTAGCCATAATTCCCTTGATGAAATAACAGTAATAACAAAACAAAAATTTACTGAGCACCTACTATGGACAGCGCACCACTAAACACTTCAATTATGTCTGATCTCATGTAATCCTCTCAATAACCCTGTGAGGTGAGTGGTATTATCAGCCCCATTTTACAGATGGGGACAGTCAGGTACAGCGAAGTGAAATATCTTGCTGAAGTTCTCATAGTTAATAGGCGTTGAAACTCGAAGGCCAGCCTGTGTGACCCAGGAGCCTGTGCCCCTACCCACAGGAATCCACTGGGAGAAGCTGTTCTCACTTTCTCCCTGGGGTTAAGAGAGCCCTCTTTCTTTAAACATCGTCTTGGCACCCCCAGATTCTTCCAAAGGTCATTTGGTCCCTTCTCCTTTCTCTGCACAAGACCAGATCTAACCCACCCTGGACAGTTTGTTCTGTGTGATGGTACAACTAACGCTACACTGTCAGGCACTGCTCCAAGCACTGTATGCCTGGCACCTCATTTAATCAGCCCCATTTTACAGATGGAAAAACTGAGGCACAAGGAAGTGAGTAACTTGCCCATTTCACACAGGTAATCAGTGGCAGAGCCAGGATTTGAGCCCAGGCAATTGGGCTTTAGAGAACCTGCCCTCCTAGGTGGTGACACTGCTCCACTCAGCTCCTGGGAAACCCGGTTTTGGTTTCCCAACCACTGTTACTCACCCAGCTGCTCTGAGAAGTCCTTGTGGCCCAGCCCTGGGCTGCAGCCGATTTCTGTGGGCACTGCCCGCAGTGGTGTAATCTCTGCCACCAGCACTGACAGCCCTCAAGACCTGGTCAGGCCGCCAGCCCTAATCGGTGCCTGAGGGGATTTATTGGCTGCCGCCCCCAGGGAGCAGGGACAAGTGTTTCCCTCTCCAGCCCTGCTGTGCCTCCTCCCAGCCCGACAGCTCCCGTGTTCCGGCCCATCGCAGCAGCTGACTTACCTCTGTGGCTGGGGGATTTAGCTGCTGTCCTGGCTCCTACTATAAATTCCCGGGCAAATCACGGAGCTCTGCATCAAAGCGGCCAACAGGGGAGCAAGCGGGAGCAGATGGCCGCTTTGGCCATGGGGTGCGGAGGACAGGGGCAGGCGGGGAATGCTCTGAGGCTTTCTCGTCCACCCCTGGCCACAAGGCCAGGCCGTGCCATCCTCAGGCCCGTGGGTCCCCCTTAACTTTCAGAGGCATCTCCCAACCCCCAGCACCCACAGGTTCTGGTTGATGTCTAATCTTGGTCCTCTTGCCGCATCTGATGTCTATTTGCCTGTTCGCTCGGGAAGGAGAGAGCTGACTACCACTCCTGGGTTTGATTAGGCTTCAAAGAGTCAGGCATTGCTTGGTTTTCTGGGGCACCATATGGCACATATTGGACTTATGCTCTGCCCTCCAGAAGGAGGCTCAAACCGAAGCAGGAAGTGGTAAGAACTTTCAGTGGGAAGAGGTGAAAGACTCTAGGAGGTAGGTGACCTAGAGCGGGGGCTGAGGGAGACCTCCCCAAAGTAAGTCCGAGTCAAGTTGGGTGAGCCCCAAAGGATAGAGGCACTTCCTAAAAGTGAAGGAGGGAGGCCTGTGGTAGCCATGGTCAGGACCCTGAAAGCTTCCACACGGTGGCTGCCTGGGATCCGCACTGGAACTGGGGCTGGCTGGGCCTGGACGGGGTCAGCCCTCTCTCAATGCCCCTTGTTTTTCTGGCTTCCTCTGACCCCTCTTTCTCTGGTTTCTGCAACACCTCCCGGCCACCCCTGCCTGCTCCCCTCTGCTCCTGTCCGTTTGCCTTATCTTTCCCGTGGTGCCGTCTCTCGTACCAGAAAACACTTCTCTCGCCCCACTGGACCAGCCGGCGGTGGTGGGGTTGGTCTGAAGCTCGGGGCTCTGGTTCCGCTCCCCAGAACCTCCCTCAGCCTGGAGCCCGTCCCTGGTGTCCATGCCATTTTGTTCTTCTACCCCTCATCCATCTTCCCCGTCCCCCCTCCTTGCCCCCCTGCCATGGCCACCTCCGCCTGGGAGATTACAGACACTGAATCAGCAGGCAGCTCCAGCGTTCTGCTGACAGGGGACTTTCTGCCTCTGAGGGCTCTGTGGTGGGATCAGGGCCCCTCCCGGGGCCTGGGGATTCGGGATGGGGGGAAGAAAGGGCCGGGGCGGAGAACAAGCAGATGGAGAGGGAGAGGTGAAGGGCAGAAGGTAAAGAGAGAGGAAGGAGGATGGATAGAGGAGAGGTGGGAAAGAGGAGAGACTAGAAGAAGAAAACACTGGAAAGATGAAAGAACAGTGAGGGAAGTGGAGAGAGGAGCAGAGGGCAGGAGGATGGATAGAGGAGAGGTGGGAAAGAGGAGAGACTAGAAGAAGAAAACACTGGAAAGATGAAAGAACAGTGAGGGAAGTGGAGAGAGGAGCAGAGGGCAGGGCCCCCCTGCCATGGCCACCTCCGCCTGGGAGATTACAGACACTGAATCAGCAGGCAGCTCCAGCGTTCTGCTGACAGGGGACTTTCTGCCTCTGAGGGCTCTGTGGTGGGATCAGGGCCCCTCCCGGGGCCTGGGGATTCGGGATGGGGGGAAGAAAGGGCCGGGGCGGAGAACAAGCAGATGGAGAGGGAGAGGTGAAGGGCAGAAGGTAAAGAGAGAGGAAGGAGGATGGATAGAGGAGAGGTGGGAAAGAGGAGAGACTAGAAGAAGAAAACACTGGAAAGATGAAAGAACAGTGAGGGAAGTGGAGAGAGGAGCAGAGGGCAGGAGGATGGATAGAGGAGAGGTGGGAAAGAGGAGAGACTAGAAGAAGAAAACACTGGAAAGATGAAAGAACAGTGAGGGAAGTGGAGAGAGGAGCAGAGGGCAGGGGGATGGGAAAGGGGGAGAGAGGGAGAGCGTGGAAATTAGGTGGAGGTGAGCCTGTTCACCAGCCTGCAAGCCCAGGCCCCAGCTCCGCTCTCCCCTCCCCGAGTGCCCACCCAGGCAGGCCCCTTGGAGGCCCAAGTTCATGGGGACCAGGCTGAGGGGTGCGGCCCGGCGCCCCCTGCCTTGAGCCTCCCTCTCTCCCTCTCACGTGGTGGTTGGCACTTCATCTTGTTTGCGGGGCGGCTGGGCCTGCTCTCGGGGTTTAATGATCTGTGCCATTATTTATAGCTTTGAGCGCCGAGAAACACACTGAATTTATCGCTTGCTTCTATAAATAACCCTGGCAAACGGGTGCCCAGCGAGGAGGGCAGGAGGGGGAGGGAGAAACAAGGAAAGGAGAGGTGGGGGGTAGGGCGTGGGACGTCTCTGTGGACTCTGTCCCCAAGGTGGGGTGACGCGTGTGCTCAAGGACGGTGGAGGCTGGGTGTGGGTGTGTGTCTGAGGGCAAGTTCACCTAAGTCACACAGCGTGTGCCCCTGGGATGAGGGTGAGTGCACGTTTCCGAGGGCATGTGTGAGCTGACTGTGTGTTGGTGTTGGCCTCTGGTGCCACGTTGGTGGCAGTGAGGTGAATAAGCACAAGACAGCCCCGAAGAGTGGCTCGTCTATAAATGGATGTGCAATGGGGCTGAGAGGCAGCAGCTCTGGACTAGAATCAGGCTCCTTTCTCTATGGTTGGGTGACAGAAAAAGACGACAAGGAGACCGTTTTCTCCAGGGTTCAATGGCACAGGGGGCAGGAAGTGAGGCCTAGGAAGCAGGCTGAGCATAAGTCTGTCTGTGTGTCGGGCTGTGCCGGTAGGAGGGAGGAGGTGCCTGGTGTCCTAGAGCAGCAGCCGGGGTCACCTGCTCCCAGACCTACAGGGACCGTGGCTTTGGGGCTTTTGGCTACGGCCCTCCTCAGAGTACCCTGCTGGCAAGTCCTGGCTCAGGGTGGGGTAGGGGGCCAGGCAGTGCTTTCTGGTACTGCGCCGCCTGCCCCTCCCACGGGCTTGCCCCGCGCCCCCAGGACTGCCCAGGACCAGGCTTGCGGAATGAGAGCCTTGGCCCTGCTCAGCCAGAGGGCAGTGGTCCTGCCCCTTCTCCTCTCCCCCAGCCGCAGTCCCCCGCTCAGCACTTCCACACAGAAATGGCTGCAGCAGCCATTAGCTCAGGGAAGCGCTCTGCATCTCTAATGAGGACATTTGCATATATAACGAAGAACCTTCACACGTGCTGGGGAAGCTGCCCCTCCTCTCTTTCCCCTTCTTCTCTCCCACCAGCTGCCACCCTGACCTGTAGCTCTGGGGGTGGGCGTGAGGGTCCCTGCCCACTTGGCTGGGGGATGTGCTGAGGGGGTCTGCACAGGCAAATTGCAGGGGGTTCCCCTCTCTGGGTCAGACACAGGCAAGGTGAGAGCCCATTGTGGCAGTGTGCTCGAAGGGACCCAGCTACTTGTGAACAGGAGCCTGGGCACATGCACAGAGAGAAGGTCAAGGTTAACCCGCCCATCTCTGCCCAAGTGCACTGCAGCACATGGTAAGGTAGCCGGCTCAGCACAAGTATGCAAGACACGTCCCAGGCTGCACCCACGCGATGCGCCTGCACACTCACGCCCTGGCACCAACACAGGCAATTGGAGAAAAATGCACCTGTACCAACACTTGCTCCATCCAAGCAGGGGCCCCTCTCTCCTTTCCCCCTCCTTTCCTTGCTCCCTTCAAACCCTATCCACAGTGTTTCTCATAGAGTCACCAGCCCCTGTTCAGGCCGGAAAACTACCGCCTCCCACTCCCACATGCTTTCTCAGATCTATTAAGCACACAAGAGACCATTTTCCTTAAAAAAAAAAAGAGTAAGAGGGGCCTTTGCACCCTAGATAGGTGGTACTGAAGGAGGAGAGAAAATGCCAGGGCAAGGGCAGCTGGGAGGGCTGCAGGTTAGGAACTGGGGGAAGGTGGGGGGCGTCTAGGGAGGAGCAGAGACTGGGAGCTAAAGTCCCCACAAGGTCATTCTCAGGTTATCCCCGACAGCCCTGACTCCCCCCGCTGCAGACCAGCCAATCCCTGGCCCCCACGGCCTCCCCCGCCCTCCTGTTGGTCCTGCTGAGCCACGTGACCCTCCCCTTCTCTGGCAGCTGCCCCCCGATGATGGATGCAGCTGCTCAGCTGTACCTGTTGGGGGACAGGGACTGCACAGCTCCTAATTACCTCCTTCTTGAGCTTGGGCTGGGGGCAGGGCTGGGCTGTACGAGGGCTCCCCGCTCGCTCACTCCACTGGGGCTGGGGCTGACCTCCTGCGCTAGAGCCAGGCCTGGAGGCAGGCAGTCCCTGAGCTGCTCTGGGGTGATGGGCGTGCGGGGGGCACTGGGTGGGGGTGTGGAGTGGCGGGGAGCTTCTGGAAGGCTGATAGAGGGAACGAAAGCACATCACAGCTATAACATCAGTGACCTGGGAAGCTGGGATACTTTGAATAAATGACCTTTCTCCAAGTCTGTCCCACTGAGAGTAAGGTTCAAGTTAAATATCGAGGAGAACTTTCTGGCAGCCAGGGACAAGAAACACTTGCACAAAAGTCGGAACTGTGGAGGCAGAGGTTTGGAAGACTTCTTAGAAGGCGAATGAGATCATCCTTTTTCTGCCCGGTGGGAGGCTCACAGCAAACAGCTGCAGAAGAAGGAGGCTGGAGTTAGAGTAGCTGAGCTGGAGGTAGAATTTGGAAGGGCTTCTCGGAGCGGGGGGATTGGGTGACCCTGGACTTGGCAGTTGAGGAGCTTATCATAGATCAATGTGGGAGGCTCTATGTCTGGGCCTGCTTGGGGAGGCATGGGGAAGACCTCAGGATTGTAAAGATGGCAGAGCTCCATCAGGCTTCTCCACAGCGGCACCAAGGTCTTAGGGGGCAGATGCACATTTTAACAGATCACCAGTGCGGGGGATGCCTGGTGGGCTCAAGCACCTGGGCCAGAGGTGGGCAAACAGGTGGTTACAGAGGGAATGGGACCTCTCCAAGATTTGTCCTGACTCCGAGATCCTATGAATCCCCAAATTAGGATTCTCCGTGGGATTCAAGAAGGGAAACCTGGGAAGGGTGAGCAGAGCTGGTGAATAGCACCAGGAATCCTGGCTACCAGCCCCCTCCCCTTGGGGGCAGTGGCTGTGATAATTGCTGATCACTATTAATGGATACTGCAGGTCTCAATAATGACAGCCCCACTGGGATTCATTAGTCACGGTCCCCACACCGCTGGGGGTCTCTCAGCTAAGGGAACAGGGGGAAGAGGTAGCCTGAGCCGCTGGCACACTGGGTCCCAGAGGAGGACAAAATAGAACAGCTGTCCTGGTGAGACATCTCTTCCTCTTGCTTCAGCCAGTGCCTGCAGTGAGGATGGTGTGCAGGAAGGCGAGGGGCAGGTGGGCTCCCAATGCCTCCAGTGACCCCTCTTCCGAGGGGTCTCTACTCCTCTCTCTCCAGAGCATGTCCCCTCATCTCTGTGTTTACATGGGTCCCTGTTGGCTGAACTGTCCCCCACCACTTGACTCTCCCTGCCCTTCTGAGCTCATGGGCTGCTGAACGGTCAGCCCTCGCCCTCCCCCTCCCCTGCCCTTTCCTAGTGTCCCGGGTGTCCTTCACTGCTGTTGTGAGATTTGGGGGAAGTCTCAGGCGAGGAGATGCTTACTCTGTTCCTGGGTGTGTGTCTGCTTCTCAGAGGTTTCTTCCTGGGCCTGCTGGGTGCAGGCTCGAGGAGTGTCTGGAAGAGGTGGCGAGGCTTCTGCCCATTCAGGGCGGCTTACGAGGGAGACAGAAGGGGCGGGGAGCCGGTGTTCCATCATCTCCCCAAAAGCAGACCAGGGCGGTTTTTGAAACTAGGTTTTCCTGATCTTAGCATCATACTAACATGTGCACACATGCACACACACACTCACCCCAAGAGACAACACACAGATACACTGACACATTTTCTCCGGCAGTCTGCCCTGTGAGCTGCTTCCAGGGTAAATTCACTAAGAAACTCCTTCGCGTGGGTCCCCCCCTCCTAACCCAGGTGAAAACCTTCCATGACTCCCCGGTGCCCATGGGTGAGGCTCAGACTCTCTGTCCTAGCATTCAAGGTCTTCTCTGATCTGGTCCCAACCTGACTTCCCAGCCCAGTCTCCCATAATCCTCCAACAGGAGTATCTTCCGAAAGAAAGGTCGTACGCACTTACATTTCCTCCAGGATCACCGGGGGATGTGCCCTCTTCCCACTCACATCTCTGCTGGGATAGATCCACCTCCTCCAGGAGGCCTTCTTGACTCAAGGCCTCAGCTTACAGCAACTTCTTCCTTAGCATGTCCTTGACATTTGGAGGATAAGTCTTTCTATAGGCTAGGGGGAGGGACCTTTCTCCCCACTTCTGAGCCTCTCCAGGCAGGGCCTGTATTTATTCACCTTTATTTCCCTGGTGCCAACATGGTACCTGGAATCTATGTGTAAACAGCTGAGAACCTGGCTCCGGGGAAGAGCATCCATCCAAATTGGATCAAGCTCCTGCTTTGGCTCTTCCTGACTTTGTGACCCCGAGCAAGCAGCTTGTCCTCTCTGGGCATCAGTTTCCCAATTGTACCATGAGGAGGTTAGACCTCCCTACTCTAAGATTCTGTATTTCTGTTGTGGTGAGGATGGAGACAAACGTCCTCAGGTAGATGCACATATAGCCCTTTTCAGTATAGACGGTAAGGAGGCTGAGGGTGGTAACTAACTCAATGGCAATTAAACTCGAGGGTCCAGAGAGTTCCTGACCCAGGGAGAAACCAGGTTGGTGTCAGGTCTAGGCAGATCCATGTGAGTTTGGACTACTTCCTCTACCTCTACCTCTACCTCTACCTCTACCCTCAATTTATTTATATGAAAAATAGGATTGATATTTCAGGCTTCTTTTTGGCATCAGAGAAGATTAAGTATGTGGAAGCTTAATTCATACACACAGTACATCTAGGGACTCAGTTATCTGGGGAGTGGTGTGTCTGGGTCCTCTTCCCTTCTCAGGTCCTCTCGTGAGGGTTCTGCTCTGTTTCTTCTCTCCTTGATTATTGCCTGGGAGAACCCATGCTCACCTCTCCTGCAATCAGCTGGGGGTGCTTGGCAACAGGCTTTAGTTGGGTCCCTGCTGGGTGGTCTGGGCCGCAGAATGCCGGGTGAGCTTCTAGTTAGCTCCTCGGGGGGAGTCTCCTATGCAAATGCCGCTATGCAGGGATGGCAGGATTTCCCACACCCCAGGCTCCCATAGTCTCCAAGCCATCCTGCCCCCCATCTGACCTGACCTCTGGGATCTCTCCCAGCCTGAGATACGTCCCTGTTGCCTCATCACCCTTCCCTGGGAATACTGAGGCCGGAGTTGTCTACAGTGGCCAGGAAAATTCCTCAGAAGTGTGAGGAAGGGGGAGGGGTCTTGAGTGAGGAGAGACCCCTGTCCTACATTATGGCCTCTGTCTCCCCTTCGCTTCCCATGTCACCCCTGGGAGAGGGTTGGATGAAGGCCCCAGAGTTCGCCCCCCCAAACCCCCGTGCCCCAGCCTCTACAAGACCTTAGAGGCAGGAAACTTTCTTCACAGGGAGCTGAAGGGGACCTGGAGTATGTTCAGGGGATCCCAGGGTCCAGCTTCCCAGCCCCTCCCCACTCTGTGATCTCCAAGGACCTCCGTGCATCCAGACCCGGGAGCAGCTGCTCTGTTTATGATGTGGGAGGTTTATTCCTACTGACGCCTCTCAGCTCAGGGCTCTTGAGGGAAGACGGGATGGACTGTGGGAAAATTGAGGAAGAGGAACCAAGTCCAGCTTTGGGAGGAGTTGGGTTAGTGACTTTTCCCCTCCTTGGAGCAGCTGGGAGGATCTAGTAAAATCTAGCACTTTCTCCTTGGGAAAAAGGACCTAGAAAACCAGTGGGGGATGGGGACCAAGAGGGGGACCCTGAGGACAGAGTAGGGTCAGCAGTGTGTGGGGCTGAAGTTTCTGGGAGTGAGAGCTGGCGAGAGCCCGAAGCAGAAATGCCAATCAGGTCTCAGCGAGATTGGTTTGGCTGTGAATCGAGTATCCAGGTCATTATGAATAAGTGTGTGAGGGCCCTCGAGGTAGGGGCTGAGTCACAGTGTTTCATTTTTATGAACAGGACTGGCCTCTGCTTGTGGGAGGCCCAGAGAGGGCAGAGGGCTGGGCAAAGTCACACAGCACTCGCCTCCGATCAGCGGCTGGCCTGGCCTGGCTTTCTCTTGCTCTTATTTTCCCAGCCACTCTTTTTTTTTTTTTTTTAATTTTATTTATTTTTGGCTGCTTTGGGTCTTTGTTGCTGTGCATGGGCTTTCTCTGGTTGCAGTGAGCGGGGGCTACTCTTGTTGCCGAGCACGGGCTCCAGTAGTTGCAGCACGCAGGCTCAGTAGTTGTGGCACGTGGGCCCTAGAGCATGCAGGCTTCAGTAGTTGTGGCACGCCGGCTCAGTAGTTTTGGCACATGGGCTTGGTTGCTCCGCAGCATGTGGGCTCGCACCCGTGCATTGGCAGGCGGATCCTTAACCACTGCGCCACCAGGGAAGTCCCTCCCAGCCACACTTGATCTGATTTTAAAAATATATATTCTCCACTCTTCGCAATTTCCCATGCTCTCTCCAACCCCTTCTCCCCCTAAATAGTTATGTATGAACTTTGACCCCAGGAAGCCGCTTGGGGGGACCATTTTGGGAAAACATGATAGAGCCTCGTAAAGAATTCCGACAGCTTGCAAACAGCCTGTGCTAAATTGCCCCTTCAAGTGAAAATTAAAGCAAATGTCTGTTTTATGACCATGTTTTCTTGGGCTGCAGTTATTGTGGGAGTGCAGGCGGCTCAGAGCTGGGAGGCGTGGAGAGGGTGGAGGTACTCGGTATGTGGTGTATACCTGGGCCTCTGGTCCACTCCCTGCATCCCTCCCTCCACGCTTTTTCTGTGCAGAGATGATGTAGAAACAACCTTATCACCACAGTCTCTTTCCAGGCCCATCTTCTTCTCCCAGTGGGGCTTTAAAGGGTTCTTGCTCTTTCTGGGGCACCAGCCTCCCAGAGTGCCAGTGGCAGAAGCCCTAAGGTCATCCCGCCAGGGGCTTGACTTGGGGTCTGTGACCCCCTGTTTCTCTGGCAGGCCTCTGGGGCTGCTGCTAGGGCAGAAGGAGGGACCACTGCTCAGGTTCCAGACTACCTCCTGCTCTTGCACTATTTTCTCCAGACCTAGTCCACCTTTGCATATGAGGCATAGTGTTTGAAAAGTGGTTCTAAGGCAATAATAATAATAGTGATAATATAATAATAATAAATAATTGTAAAAGAAGGAAACCGCTGGTCTACTCTAATACCTTCATTACATAAACAGAGACACTGAAGCCCAGAGAGGACATTTTGTGGAAGATCTTGGACTGGGGAAAAGGAAATCTGGGTTCTGATTCTGACCCAAGTCACTTACCCTCTCTGGGCCTTGGTTTCCTCATCTGTAAAACTCAATGATCGGATTCCATGAACTCCAAGGTCCTTTTCAGGCCTGTGAAGCCCTAGATAAATAAATACCTAATAATGTACTAGGATGTGCCAGGTCCTAAGTGCTGTGTGTTTTCCATGGGTCATCCCATTTAAGATTCAATAATTTTATGACATGTCATCATTCCCGTCAGATCACTAAGGGACAGTGAGGTTAAATAACTTGGCCGAGGTCCTGCAATGGCAAAGTCAGACTGGACCGCTGGCAGTCCCCCTCCAGGGCCTGGGCACTCAGTCACTGCTCCCATGAGGACTGGATCCAGATCAGTCAGCTGGGGAGTGGGAGCCCAGCCTCACTGACCCCTGGGCTGGTGTTCGTTCTGCTGGACCAGGCCACCTGTTTAGCCAGGGTGGTGAGAGCCTCACACTGTCTGGAGGCTGCTGGCGTCTGCTGAACTCAGGCTGTCGATGTAATGCTCAGTGCACACCTCAGAGAAGGGGGCTTCGGGGCAGAACGGGGCTTCTTGAATGAGGCTTTGAAAAGCTGAGAGGAGCTTTTAGATTTGTTACGAGGGACTCCAGGAAGCTATGAGCGTTCTTTTTTACTTTAATTGAAGTATAGTTGATTTACAATATTGTGTTAGTTTCAGGTATACAGCAATGTGATTCAGTTATACATATATATGTGTACATACCTATATTCTTTTAAAAATTCTTTTCCATTATAGTTTATTATAAGATACTGAATATAGTTCCCTGTGCTATACAGTAAATCATTTTTGTTGCTATGAGGATTCTTGATCAGGGCAACAGCTGTATAATTTTTTTTTTTTTTTTTGCGGTACGCGGGCCTCTCACTGTTGTGGCCTCTCCCGTTGCGGAGCACAGGCTCCAGACGCGCAGGCTCAGCGGCCATGGCTCACGGGCCTAGCCGCTCCGCGGCATGTGGGATCTTCCCGGACCGGGGCACGAACCCGCGTCCCCTGCATCGGCAGGCGGACTCTCAACCACTGCGCCACCAGGGAAGCCCAGCAGCTGTATAATATTATAGAAAATCCCCTCCTTGCCCCTCACCCAGTGGCCTGCCCACCTAGGAGATCCTGCAATAGGGAGCCCAACCGGCCCAGCCTGCAAAGCCACTCAGTGACCCACGCCTCGTGCCCATAGCTAGTGTCCCTTCCACCCTGGTTATTCCAGCCTCTTCTCAGCGGCTTCACCGCTGGAACTGGATGTTGGATCTGCCTTCC